ACCTGACCAACAGGATGCAGGTGGGCGGCCCCCTGGGCAGAGGCAAGGGGAATATGACCCGCAGCTGCCGAGAGAGGTCAGCTGCCGGCGACCACGCCCCTAGGCAGGCAAAGGGAGGAATGACCTAGTGTCTCAAGGGACAGGCAGAACGAGTCTAGGCCTCATACGAACAACACCGTCCCTTCTGGCCTTCCGTAGGACCCCGACGACGCCCTATCTGCCACGTCCACGTTACCAACCTATATCTCCTTTACTACGTGTCTGCTTAGCAATAAAGTGTGTTAACAGATACTGAGTTTTCCTCTGGACCTCCAGATAATATAGTGGATCTCTATATAATTGAATGAGAGACCATTATAGCTGGTGTTCAGGGTGGTAGAACTCACGTTCCTGCCTCCGCTCAAGATCGTCGTCGGAAATTTCTACAGGACCGAGTGAGTACACAAGGGCTATTTTCCTTTCTTCTGTTCCCCCCATTTGTGTATACTACGAGCCAGTCATTATTATATGTACAAGTGCTTAGGTCCGTAGGGAAACGGGAAGTCTATTGTGTGTGTATACGGGAAATTACTGCGAGTATTTTTTCTTCTCTTTTCATCTGATAACGTAGTCGCGATATTTAATACAAGTGATTTTGGCGTACCGTTGTTAGATTCCTTCTATTTTTCAATTTCTCTGATGAGCTCCCCTCCATCTGATAATACTCGTGCTAAGAAGTCGTTTGGCGTGAAAGCTCTGCAGACTTCGCTTGGTTTCTCCCCTAAGGCCTCGGACTCTTCTCATACTTCTTCTCCTTCACCATCTACTTCTGATTTAGTTTCCCCTCTTTCTCTTGCCACTGAAACCGGAAACATTTCCTCTCCAACTCTACCCCCCGTCTCTGGCCTCACCCTTGTTACGGCTGCATCAAACATGGGTCCCGGCATCGCTCCCACGATGTACAATGTTGCATCAAAATTTTCAGGCTCGAACGTCTCTGTCGACCAATTCTTCGCGGATGTGGAAGACACAGTAATCCATTCAGGGGTTCAGCGGGAGTCTGAACATTTTGCGACATCGTGCCTCGTGGCGGCGAGAATGCGCCTTAACCACGAAATTCCCAGAGTGGCTGAAGCGTTAGACTCTTTTAACCATTTGCCGAATGATCAAAAGTCGTATGACATGTTAAAGAGTATTTTCACTTCGACATTTTCGAGGCAGACGGAAAATCACCATTTAAGACTGGTAGAGTTGTTGGAGGTCAAGCCTACTTCATTTTCAAAAGATGATCTTTCGTCTTATTTGAATAAGTTTCGCGTGAAGCTGATGCAATGGGCTCAGTCTATCCCGGGATCAGACGCGTCGGTGTGCCTCAAGCAATGCGTTACGCAGAGCGCATCGCACGCGTCAGTTCTGGAACATTTTGCAAAAGCGTGGTTAGTCTCTTCTATTTCTCCAGCTGTGCGCAAACGAGTTTGGGATAAAGTTGACAGTGCTTCATTCGATAAGCTTCCTGAGGTCCTCGCAAATGAGATGTCGGATAAAGGTGGAAATGTGCAAGTGGTTGCAAATGTTATTCGGACAGGGAAAAGTAAAGGAAACAATTATAAATACAATTCGGGGCGGACTGAACCACCGCGGCGAGAACCGCCAGTGCGGACGAAGGCAGGAAACAGACGTGCCTCGCCCGCACCTGCGTACCGCTGCGCCGAGCAGCCCCCCACTCCCTCACCCTCGCGTGCGGATTCCGAGCCTCCCTCGGGCGCGCAATACTTTGTAGTATCTTCTCCTTCGGCAGCTCCTCGCAAAGTCCCACGACCACACGTGGCTAACTGGGCACCGAAGCCTGGGCAATGTCGTAGATGCTTGAGGATGCATCGCCGACCTGGGTGCTTTGCTAAACAGTTCTGTCCATACTGTAACAAGCAGGGTCACGCATTTAATGAGTGCACGTGGTTCCCGGATCAGGTGGCGATCACCCTTAAATTTATCGCGAAGATGAACAAGGAAGGAACTTACAATAAGAGAGTAGTTAATTTTTTAGAGGAGGATATAACAGGTTTCGAACCAGGAGAGGAAGTGCATTGGTCTCCGGTGTAGTTGCATCGTCTTCTCGGTTTCGTGTTGCTAGTGCTGGTATACCGAACACAGGAACGGGACCCCCTCTCCTACCTGGTAAGCTTAAAGGGAAGGACGCATACTTTTTCATTGATACGGGAAGTTGCGTCAGTCTCGTGAGTGAACGGGTATTAGAGGATTTTCAGCTCTCGTCTCCGGTATCGCCGGCCGATGTTTGTGTTACTGGTGTAACAGGATCGCAGCTAGGTGTTGTTGGAACTACGTATGTAACTTTGAGGTTTGGAAACATCCAGTTTCCTCATAAATTCGCTGTAGTGAAGGGATACCATAGTTTCCCCGGCCACATGCTTCTTGGCCATGATTTTCTATATCGTTCTGGTATGGTCCTGCGACCGCAGCAGAATGAGGTAGAATTTCAAGGTCATGTTTATAAGCTAAGTGA